GAAAAAATCGATTTAGAAAATGGAGTAACTTTACATGCTTGGTCATACTTAGAAATCTGCAAGCGGAGAGACCGTGAGAACCGGTAAAAGTCTGCTTTTACCGGTTCTCACGGTCTCTCCACTTGCAGATTTCTTATATTTTTCTTCTACCCTAAAGATGGAGGCGATACGTTCCTCCGAAACGTCGGTTAACACCACATATACACGGTGCCAAATCCCAGAAGACTGCTTTCTTCGTGCTGTTTATGTTATACAGTTCATTGCCCTGCATGGTTCATACTACAGTAAGCTATTTCATTTAAGTTTGCTAGCTCAATTAAATAGTTTACTGCAGTATGAATTGTCGAAGAATTGGTCTACTGGAGAAAATTCTTGTTCTTATTCATTTCTTTAAATTTTTAAAAATTCTTTGCTTGATCTCATTTCAAAATGAAAAACTATTTTCAAATATGCCTATTTCCAAATGTTCTGTATGATTGTGTCAGGTTAATTATGGTTTTAAATATAGTCTCTTATGGTCTAGCTTGGGAATCTATTATTTATAAGGCTGTGTCTTTCAAGTTTTAGACAAAAGACTTACAGTAAAACATTTGAAATGGAACTTACATGTAAGTAGGTTTGTAAGTAAGTTTCTGTAATTTCTTGTTCATGATTTGTGTCCTGAAAACCTGGATTATAAGTAAACAATTGTGAAAACACTTTTTTTTTTTTCTCAGATTTTAGCTGACACCTTAAGTATAATGGAGAAACAAGACCATAATGAAAACAGAGTTAGGTTCCAATTTATTAACCCCAAAGCTGTTACAATGGGCCAGTTATATGGACAGTTTGATCCAGTGTCATTTGAATGGACTGATGGAATTGTTGCTACAGTCTTCAGGTATTTCTCTGTGTTTGTATTTTGATCTTCACTTTTTTATTGCTACATTAATAAATTACATAGTAGCTGCCACAATTTTGAATTGTGTGCCTAGACTGATATGTGCTTCCTGCCTAATAAATAAAACTGAAACATAAATCTGTTCTTTGATGGATTTTGAAATATATTTATTTAAGTCTGATTGCTTATGTTTCATGGATGTCACTGTACAAATAAGTGGTTTGTGTAAGCAAATGACAAATACAAACAGCTTATCTGATAATACAGTGTAGATAAAATATAAACTGTTGCCAGAAGACTGCAGAAGTTTATGGAGAAATTTTCAGAAATGTGGTGTAAATGCCATCTGTTGGTTAGGCCTGGAACATTTGAATTTAATCTCCTTAACTGAGATAAAATAAAGTTGGTCAATCAAAGCAGTGAAAAAATGAAAAATTTAGTTCTGTATTGTTGCATACTCCAGTGAAGAGTTTTTGCAATCTGAGTCACCTAAAATTATGAAAAAAGAAAGAGAGTATGAATTTGAATTTATATACATTACACACATGCACTAACCCCCCCCCCCCCACACACACACACACACACACACATGACACACATGCACATACACAGATTTTGTGTATATTAAATTTAGCCTTCAAGAAAGCACCCTTTTGTGTTAGATGATATCAGTTGTGTGCTTTATCCGTCACAACACAACGCTCAAAGGTTTGTTCACATACATACATTTCATTTCGCAAGTCCAAAACAAATGGACATGAAGGTCGTCATATCAAAAAAAACAAATACAAAAAATTTAAACAAACACACAAATAACAGAATAATTAAAACTAATTGTTTATGTTATGCTCAAATCTGTCATAACCATTGTCTTCTCCAAATTTTGGCCAGATAGTCAGTGTCCTATATCATTATCTTGGTCTCCTTCAAGTCTGTCATGTCCGTATACTCTCACTCTCCTCTAGCACAAAAATCAAAATATTTCTCTCTTTGGCTTCCTCTGAACAACATGCTCTGTGGTTATTAACCTCATGACCCCATTCATATTTATTTCTTGTTGAATATGATTCATAAAATTTACCGTTTCATTGACTGTTTGTTTTAGTTGATGAAATCTAACTCCGATAAATAATATTTCCTACCCAATTTTCCTTTTTCATTTTTCTTTGTTGTCCTGAAAGTCCTATAATGTCACATGTTTCTGTCTCGAGATGTCTCACATAAGCCATAATTGCATCAGTGTCTGTCATGTCCACTTTCAGACCTGCATTCATCTCCAACACCAGTTACAAACAACAATTCAGTGACTGCTCCCAAAGAACACATTTTCTTCCTTATTTCTCCTGCATTTGTGCTGCCACCTTCCACACTCCTTGGTACAGTGCTATAAATCTGCCAATTATGACTTGTAAACACCCAGTGCTGCAAACTTGAGACCCTTCATGAAAAATACCCACTTTCTGCCACACAAACCCAGGTACACCAGTTGAAAGTAGCATATGGGTTTAGAATTGAGAATATTCTTGCACAGTAGGGACTTTAATTTTTAATTTTATATGTCAGTAAACTTGTGTTGCAACATGCAGGAAATATTCAACCGATGAAACTCCTGACAGAAAGTGGGTAATTTTTGATGGGCCTGTTGATGCTGTTTGGATAGAAAATATGAATACAGTTTTGGATGACAACAAGAAGCTTTGCCTTACTTCTGGAGAAGTTATTGCTCACACTTCTCAGATGTCCATGATATTTGAAGTAATGGATCTGTCTCAGGTAAACCTTTATTATATGTGACCACAACATTCAGTGTTTATACAGTGATAAGTGTACATATTGTAGTCTTTTGGATTGTGACACTGTGTAGTACTAAAATGAATACTAGTGTTTTGGAGAAGCATGTTGCCTCCATCATCAGTGTTGAAATGAGTGGTTGAGAATGCATTCAAGATATATATCCTGGTAGAGTTCAATGATGGTTTCTCAGAATTGTGTGAGGGGAGAGGAAGTAGAACCTTTTCCAGGCCAGTGGGAGTGGGAAATGGAAGCTGGAGAGTGCCATCTCTCTGTAAAGGAATTTCCTATGAGAATCTGGAAAGTGGACAGCCAAATCAACAGTGCGTTCCACTGGCCTGTCAGGGGCCTTCTCTCCTCTTCCCCAACCAAGCTTCTGGTAGGAAATCTTCCTGTTCTCCAAAATCTGTTTCCTCTCCTGCATATTGCCTTCTGCTGTAAAGAAAAAATTGGTATGTGCCTCTAAAATGCTGGTAACAACATATCAGGCTGCATGATGTTGTAACGCAGAAGACCACGATAGACACTTCATCATGAAAATTACAAATCTGATTCATGTCTCCACTTCATTATACATAGGTAAGTCAATAAGTAAGTTACAAATGGATATAGAACTTAAGCAAACAAGAGTACTGATTTGAAAAATGCTTTTTTTTCTCAACATAATCTCCCTGTACATTGAGGCACTTGTCCCATCGTTTCACAAGCCCCTGAAAACCAGCAGCATAAAGTTCTTTGGGCTGCTATCAGAACCAGGTGGTGACTTCCCTACAGAAGGGTAACTATAGACACTATAGCCCCTGCTATTGGTTGTTCACATGGCATGGTCTACCTCATAATGCATGACAGGTTTGGTTTTCACAGTCTGTGCACGATGGGTGCCGCATATGCTGACCCCACAACACAATGCAAAGAATGGGTCTGGCATTGCAACATCTCAGTCACTACCATGAAGGACACAATATGCTAGCCCGAATTGTCACAGGTCTTGCTCCAAACGAATTCCATTTGTTCGGCCCTCTTGATCATCTTTCACCTGAACGTTTTCCTCACAAAGCTGTAGAAAGCAAAGTCACAGCCTGGTTCTGATAGCAGCCCATAGAATTTTATGCTGCTGGTTTTCAGAGGCTTGTGAAATGATGGGAAAAGTGCCTCAATGTACAGGGAGATTATGTTGAGAAATAAAAGCATATTTCAAATCAGTACTCCTATTAGTTTTAAGTTCTATGTCAATTTGTAACATGCTTATTTTACTTACCCTCGTATTTGGGACAGAATGGCATATGGCTTCACTGAATGTGGTATTAGTTGAATGTGATATACTGAATGTGCCTAGAAACAGTTATGATGGGAAGTTCATTTGAACAAAACTATTTCATTGTAAAAATCCTAAACACACTAGTGTGTTGAAGAGAGTCGTCTTCTGGGTTTAGGCACCGTGTATTCTTCGTGTTGGCCAACTACTACTGCTACTGCTCTCCGTATTCCAAGCTATTCAACTGCTCTGAAGCTGGAGGCACTACGTTCCTCCGAAACGTCGGCCAACACGAAGAATACACGGTGCCTAAACCCAGAAGACGACTCTCTTCATTGTCATCGCCGTGAAAACCTCAAAACTTACACACTAGTGTGTTGATTAATTTATTTCTGGCTAATTCTTATTATGTTCATTAGGCTTCACCAGCAACTGTTTCTCGTTGTGGCATGATCTACATGGAACCATCAGCTTTAAGCTGGGAACCTTTGACTGTCTCCTGGATTCAACAAGGAAATCCTCAGTGGGTAGAAGGAAATGAACAAATTCTGCAAGACTTGCTTCATTGGTTTGTCCCACCTTGTCTGCTTTTCATAAAGAAACATGCAGTTCAGTTGGTTACTGCTGGAGTTACAAATCTGGTGGTGTAAGTTCAATCTTTTTAGTTCAGACCTCATCTGTTTGACTCTGTTACTACTGTCATGTTACTAGTTGTCTTTCTGCATTAAATATGTATTTATATAAGGTTACAAATTTTAATCATGTATGGTTTTAAACACATGGGTAGCTAGATGAAGAAACATAGCCAGAGCTTAGTACAGAAATGTCTGTATCCTAAAACCTGAAACTGAAAATTGGCAAGCTTTTGAAGAAATGGACAGTGCCTGACATCTAACCTGTGGATAGTAAGTGATTCCTGTGTTAAGAGTTCATCTGTAGCAGTATTCAGTCTCTATAAATTATTGTGAGATCCTACTTACAGGGGTAAATACCTCTCAGAACTACAGTAATATCTGACATGTGAAACAGACACCTCAGTCTGAATTGATATGCTTAATGAAATCTCCATTTTTGTGTTATATTTTCTAATTTTGGGTTTAAAAAGAAGCTGTCGCCTGAGTAAAATGCATTGTTATTAATTATTTATGCCTATTTACGTATGTGAAATTTGCAATGGTGAACAGAGTTGTCAGCGTTAGTGATTTTTTGACAAGGACAAATTCAGCTGGATGTAAGAATAACATATAGGTTAATACTGGAAAGGGTAGTATAGTTTTTGCACACAATTTATGAAATTTAATCACATGCCGTTCTTTTACAAACACTATAAGTTTTAATTATTGCAGATCTACTATGTCATTAGCAAGAATGCAACTTGAAGATGCTATACATGCAAATGAAGATGCTAAACATCTTACTGTCTGGATTCAGGCAGCATTTATATTTGCTGGTATATGGGGCATTGGAGGTATCCTAGACACAGACAGTAAAATTCAGTACGATGAATTCTATAAGACTTTGTGGAAAGGTAAGTAAAATATGTGAACAGGTGAAAGTTATTAGCAGCTTTAAGAGAGATGTGTCTTGTAATAATAAACATAGGCCACTTATAATCTTTGCCCTTAGATGCTTAACTATGCATAAAAATCCTAATATTCAGTCAGCCCAATTCCTATAAACCACCATACAGTCCATTGTACATACTAATTGTAACAATGCAATGTTGTGTGTCAGGTTGCTTACAGGCAAGAGTTTGTTGCTGTGCTTCCTGCCAGATGCAGACCTCTTGCCCATGGATACAGTAAGAATGAAGTATGGTGCATTCATTTTATTCTGTTCCTGTATTGCTTTATGACTGATTGCAGTATCAAACATGGGTTTGTTTAGAAAATTTATAGTTAATGTCCACATTTTGTCAGAACTTTATTCAGTTTTCTGACATATCTGCTGATGAGAGTGCTGAAACAGAATTTCTTGACACTGACATTTTAGCTACTGTCTGTTTCTAGACCTGGCCATTCTCAGCAGAATGTGCAGAGAATTTGATATAGTTTACTGAGATACAGATTGTATGGTGTTGGTTACTACAAGGCCTTTGTTAAAATATGCCACCCTTCCTCCCTCCCACAATACAGCTATACCCTGCCGATACTTTTTGACTGGTCTCCTTCATTCTCATCGCATGAGAACGAGTCTATGCTATGAACTTACTTCGTCTGCAGAGAGTACATTCATAGGCTGGCTGCTTGTGAGGTTGGAAGTTCCTCTCTGACTGCAGGATGAATAACTGGAACTTTAGTCCTATGGGTCACAATTCAGGCTTTTTAACATCCTATTATGATGACCTAATTTACTCACAGTATGCTGCACTACACTAGCAACGTTAAATTAAAATACACATAAACCGAACACAGTACTAATTATTCGTCTAACAGTTCCACTCCAGACAAGTCACTGTTTTCAGTGAGTTCTGTTGTATCATTATCACTGGAGTCACTGTCACTGCTATCTTCAGAATGTTGGATGATAATTCTTTCTATAGTGTTCTCTCTAATTCCCACTTTTTAGATATATTCCTTTTCATTCTTTTCAGTGCGGTCTCAATCTTTTTCCCAATTCTCTATTCCAAATTCACTGAACCATTTCTTACACTTCTTTGCCGTGTCATGCATATGAAATTAGACATTTTCAGCCCCTACTACTGACTGCTTAACATCAGCCCAAACGAATTCAGTCAGATTCAAGTCTGGATGATAAGGTGGAAGTCGTAATACCATGTGTCCATATGCAGCCATTATTTTGTCCATTACAAAGTATTTGTGGAGGGGTTTGTGTGCCTTTATCAGGTCATAGAGCTGAATTTTGAGCATTCCATCATGAAATGGCACATTGTTCACTGTAGGCCACTCCATCATCTTGGCCTTTGTAGTCTGGCTAGTTCTAATCACATATCGAGCAGTGTTAAGTTTCAGGGGTAGTTGATCAACATGTCTCTTCCATGATGGTGTGCTTACAATATTAATTCCTAAAAACTTTGTATAACGTTACTCAGAAATTTTCTTGTTGCCATATGCAATATTAATATAATTGTCCTGTTCATAGGAGATTTTTGTTGTGAATTTGATGTAATCTGTTTTGGAAACGTTTAAAGATAATAAATTTGTATTAAACCATATATTTAAAATTTAAAAAAATTCAGTTAATCTGTCTTGGAAAACCAAGGGACCAAGTTCACTAATAATTACACTAGTGTCATCAGCAATAATAATAGGGGTAGAAATCTTATTTAGTACTAAAGGAAGATCATTAATATAAATAAAAAAGAGCAAAGGTCCCAAAATGGAATCTTGGGCGATTCCATATGAAATTTCACCCCAATTTGAATATATGTTTAAATTATAATATTTGGATTGTAATTGTATTCTTTGAAATCTTCTTTCAAGTATGGTGTTATTTGTGCATTAAACCCGAAATACCATAAAACTCTAATTTAGATAACAAAATGGTATGGTTAATGCAGTGAAAAGCTTTATCTAGATCACAGAATATTCCTCCCACATTATGTCCATCATTCAGACGGTCAGTTGAGGAGTTCGCCCTAAATCCAAATTGTTCATTTACCAAGACATTATTATTGACCAAGTGTTTACAAAGTCTCCTATATATCACTTTCTCAAATATTTTTGAGAAAGAAGTTAACAGTGATATGGGCCTATAAAATCTAATAAGATTCCTATAACCCTTTTTATGTATGGCTTTTATTTCAGAAAGCTTAAGTCAATCTGGAAATATGCCAGTTGCCAATGACCTATTTATTATGTAGGTTAATGGTGAAGTAATGTAACATACACTAATTTTTAAATTTTGACAGGGATCTCATCATATCCATAAGAACTGGTAATTTTCAATTTATTAATAATATTTACAATTTCAGTAGTTGTGACCGAACTATATGTAATGGTAGGAAACGTAACTTTAAAAATATCAGATAAATATTCACTACAAGTTTTAATTTTATCAATTATTTGTTATATTATTGATAATTGTGTCAGCTACAGACAGAAAGTATTTATTAAAAGATTCAGAAATGCTTTTTGAATTAGTATATAGCCTATCAAAAGTACTGAAAGTGGGTAAGATATTGTAATAAGACTTCGTACTAGTCAGCGCCTTAACAATATTCCAAGTACTTTTAATTCTATCATTGGAATTTAAGATCTGTTTATTGTAATAAAGACGATTAGTTTTTATAATATCTCCAGCTAGAGATTTACAGTATGCCTTATAATAACTTTTAATATTGGGATCATTGCTATTCTTACTAATTAAATACAGACGTCTCTGAATATTACATTTGATTTTTGTACTAGGTGAGATCCACATTTTGTACTTTGTAATATGCGACTTAACAGATGATTTAGGAAAACTAGCATAAACATATCTTAAAAATATATTTAAAAAGGAATTAAACATAACATTCACATCATTCTCTTTAAAAACTTCTTTCCACTTCTCATAACTCAGTTTGTATTTGAAATCAGCTAATGAACATTTTGTCAATTTTCCTTGTATGAATGGCATGAGTTATTGTGAATAATTAAGCTGGTAGCTGCAGGTTTCCTATAAATTCCAAATCGTAGATTATTATGTGTTTTCTTTTTTGATGGATGGATCTAAAAAGTTAAGTTTGTTGTTTATTTCCTTTCCATTAAAAATTTAATTTTAGGATGTATCTTGTTGAATTCTCACAAAATATTTTCAGTGTATCAATATATAATGCACAACAGGATGCATTCACTGAAAATTAGGAAACAGATGTTTTGAAAATGTGGCACAGTTCAAATATTTGGGAACAAAAATAACAAATCAAAACCTGATTCAGAAGGAAATTAAAAGGAGATTGAACTTGGGTAATGCTCACTACCATTCAGCCCAGAACCTTTTGTATTTTCATCTGCTGTCCAAAAAACAAAAAAGAAACTATACAGAACTATAATTTTGTCTGTGATTCTGTATGGTTGTGAAACTTGGTCTCTGACATTAAGGGAGGAACATAGATTGAGGGTATTTGAGAACAGGTTGTTGAGGAGAATATTTTGGCTGAAGAGAGGTGAAGTGACAGGAGGTTGGAGAAAGCTGCATAAAGAGGAGCTTCATAACTTCTACTCTTCTCCAAGTACAATTAGAATGAAGAAGTCAAGGAGGATGAGGTGGGCAGGGCATGTAGCACCAGTGGTGGGGAAGAGGAATGTATATAGGATGTTGGTGGGAAAACCAGAAGGAAAGAGATCACTGGCAAGACCAAGCCGTAGGTGGGTGGACAATATTAAAATGGATCTTAGAGAGATAGAATGGGATGGTATGGATTGGATTGATCTGGCTCATGATAGGGACCATTGGAGGGCTCTTGTGAACATGGTAATGAACCTTCGGGTTCCATAACATGCTGGGAAATGCTTTAGTAGCTGCAGAATTGGTGGCTCCTCAAGAAGGGCTCAGCTTCATGGTATTTTTTTTATTGCTAGTGGGTGGGATTAAGTCCCTTGTACTGTGGCCACTTCTGGCCTATTGTACCAGCCCCAGATGATAGGTGAGGGTGATTGTGGAGTGGTTGGTGGAATGAAGATAGGCAGGGGAAACCGAAGTACTCAGAGAAAACCTGCCCCAGCACCACTTTGTCCACCACAAATCCCACTTGACCAGACCTGGGATTGAACCCGGGCTGCCATGGTGGGAAGCTAGTGACTAACTGCTTGAGCTATGGCATGGCCAAATCTTCATGGTAAGTAGGTAAGTTAGTAAGCAAACAAGCAAGCAAGCAGGTGGGCAAATTGGAACAAACAAATGCAATATTGTCAATTTAGTATACCTTATATTTTGCTGCAGTGTTCATTTTATATAAGATTTTGCTGTTTTTTAGCAATTGTAAGAATTTTTATTGAAATTTTTTGTAGTATAATAGGATCTCCATTGGTTCAAAACATGATATAATATGTTTCTGATGCTTATGTTTCCTTTCAGACATTAAAATTTATTTTAATTTTTTGGTCATCTTTTGGTTTTCCAGGAATTTAGCCCAAATTAAAACATTGCGCCTGTGGGAAGTAGTGATTTGCATTATGAAAATATGCTTTACAACCTCTCTCCAGGAACTTTAGTGTGAAGAATGTCTGTACAGGTTAATTGAGTTATTTATTCATTTATATATTTATTTCATTTACATTTTTTCTTTTGTATATTTACCAATGTTTTTGGTTGCTTTGTCTATATAACATTGAATGGTAGGTTGAGGAAGGAAGCAGTTGTGATCCAAGGTCTTGGGGCTAATATTTGAACTTGTGACCTTCTAAATACTTCAACATAATATTGCATCAATGAATGAGGTACATTATACTCATTTTACTGAAAAGTCATGAAGCATTACTAGTTTCTCCATGAGCTGAGATTTGTCCACCTGAAAATTAATGGAATTCTGAGAGCAAAATTAGTCCAGATTATTATAAATGGTAGAAAATCATAAATGTTTTGGAATACGTTTGCTTCAGGTTCATTAATTCATTCATTTATTTGTATTCTGTTAATCCTTCTGTTACAAGGTCAAACCAACCTATGGGATATAGAACCTGTCAAGATACAAATATAATATAAACATAAAATAATGATATATACATACATTCAAAATGAGCACAGTAAGGACATAAAGTAAAACACAGTATTGCATAACAGCAGTGTCACAAAACACATTTTGATCAAAGACACAAAGCAAAACACAGTATTGCACAACAGTGTCACAAAACACAGTTTGAACAAATACACAAGATAATAGTGAAGACAATGAAACATGAATGAATTGAACTTACAGTGGGAAGACCTCCCACAACTAATCAAAATATACAAAGGGCAAGAAATATAAAAAGAACCATATTCATTAGGAAGTTAATTGGTAATATTCATCAATACTATAGAATTCATGTTCTGTGAGGTAGGTTTTAATGAAGATTTGAAATGCTAAATATCTTTGTATAGCATTTTAATATTTAATGGTAAGTGGTTATAAATCTTACTTCCAGAAGAGAGTACTCCTTTCTGTACAGATGATAGATTTGTAGAAGGCAAGTGTAAATTGTGGTTGTAACGAGTATTAATATCATGAATATCAGAATTAGCTATAAAGCAACTTCTGTTCTTGATGACAAAGACAGGTAGTGAGAATATGTATGGAGACTGAAGTGGCAATATTTATAATTTTTTAAATAATTCACAGCATGAGTCGTATCTACCTGAACTAGTAATAACTCTTATTATTCTTTTCTGAATTTTAAAATCAATTTGCATCAAGCTATAACAAATTTGGTCATGGACAAAATTCTAACCTAAATTGTGAAATCCAAGAGAGTAGCTGTTTATTTGTCAAATAAACCCACAAAACAAATAAGTATGGAATAGAACTGTGGAACTGCTTATGAAAACCCAGAAGGGATCCCAACAAACACTGGCCTAAGAACCTTGAAACCAAGGCAGGGGATACAATATGTAACATAAATGAGGGCATAATAATCAGGTCATAATCATAGACCTGTGTCTATGACAAACCAAAGTACATATAATAGAGAAGCATCTATATACCCTCCTGTTATGTTACTGATTATTGTAACACAAACTGACATGTGCAATGTAGGATATTGAAGAATTTAATTTCATTAACTTTACTACAGACTAGTACTATTGGTAGTTATTTATATTTTCATATGTTCATGTTCACTGCATTATTGTGCAGTGGTCGCTATATTCATAACTTGTCGCCACAGTGAACTGTCAGTTTACTGCCAAAATATTTTTGGCCACCTTTCATGTTATTTTCTATTAAAAATTTATCATTGTGCATAAATTCTGGGTCTTATATCGAATTCTTATGATGTATAATACGCTGACTAGTATAGTGTTGTTCATATTTCACAAGTTGTCACAGCCAATATGTATTGTTGATGAGAGGGAGTTAAAAAGTATGAATGGGGTAAGACCTACTGATGCTGTCTGTAATTATGTTAGGCATTAGACAGAGAGACACAGTATCCCAGGAATAGGGTTTTTAAGAAGTAATTTTGAGAGAATGCAGGATTGAATATTGGAAGAAAATTTTGCAGTTTTCAGTATTGTTATTTGAGAAGAACAGGGTATAAATCTATAGAAAAATATTTTTCTGGCATGTTGGCAGCTTTAATGTGTGTTGGTGGAACAAATAACATATGAAAAGCATTGTGCAGTTACAGTAAATGAAGTTTTCACTAATGCAAGGGAAACCATTTCAAATGTTATTCTGTAAAATGGATTAAACATTGGAATTAGAAGAGAGGATGTAACAGAAAGACAAACATTGTATAATGAAGAAGTTTGAAAACATTGAAAGTAGAAATGTTGAAATATCTAAGCAGCCAAGGTAATTTTATTGAACAGGTGTAAAATGTGAGTGAATCATGAGGGGGATATGAGGTCATGTTGCAAGCTTGGTATGCAGTGTTGAATGTTATTTGGCTATATATAAACCTCTTTTCTTATTCATTCATTCATCTGTAATCTGTCAAGACGACAGGTCCACAGTCTCTTCCAAAACAGTTCCTCCACTTGATGCGATTTAGAGCGTTCTCCTTCAAATGAAAATATCCTCTTCTCTCCTCAAGGTCATCCAGCATCTTCTTACGCCTTCTGGTCACTTCTATTCGCCCCTCTATCTTTCCTTCAATAACTTCTTTAAGAAGGCAATTACCACGTAAGATATGACCAATCCAATGAGCCTTCCGTTTTCTTATTTCATGTAGGATATTCCTCTGCTCACTGACTCTAACTAACACTTCTTCATTTCTCACATAATTTGTCCAACTGATCTTCTCCATCCTTCTCCAACACCACATTTCGAAGCTTTCTAGGTGTTTCTGATCTACTGCTCTAAGTGTCCAACTTTTCTTATATATATGTCTCTTTATTTTTTACAGGTCATAATAAAGATTATCCAATTCCAGAAAGTCTTGAAAAGATGGATGTTTCAATACCTGTGGAGGGAACTTTGTATGACTATACCTATAATTTTAAACAGAAAGGGAACTGGAAATATTGGCCAGATGTACTGAAGTCTATGCATGCTATAGAGACTATTAACATCCAACAGATGCTAATTCCAACTACTGAATCAGTGAGGTTAGTTTCAGAAATTATGGGGTATTGCATCAAGAGTTAATATCATCATGATGCTGGTCATTGTATGTCACTCATGGCGTTTTTATATTAGTAAAGTTATGACTGAGTTTTCATTTTCTGCCAGAAATAATCAGCTAATATGTGTATAATGCCATCATGATGACCGGTATTTCAGCCAAATAGCTTATCAGTAAAATTAAAAAATCCTTTCCCTGTAACAGGCTGTGGAGGCCGATAGGTTTGTGAGATGAGGTGAGATGGTGTGAGGCACCAACATTTTCTAAACAATCAGCTTATGGATGGCAGTGAGGTTGTCAGCCTAATGCTCTGGCCACCCTTTACCCCCAGGAAGATTCCTGGTACTCATAGTTGTTAGAAGTCAAGTTGACCCCAGGGCTGCAGTGCATCTGGAAGGATTAGGTCAATTGAAAAATCCAGTGAGCTCATCTGGAATCAAACCTACATCCTTCTGGCTTGTAGCATAGTGCCTCAACCAAATATGTTACTGTGTGCCCCAGTAGCCTCTCAGTATTTTATTAAATTCCCATGGGTACCATTCTCATTCTTTCTGTTTGCACATTTGCTGTTCTCAGCATGCATGTTAAAAATAAGACTGCTTGCGTATTCTACACTACATATTTTCTTCTTTCAAAGTCATAGATTTATAAGTGGTGTAATTGTGGTAGTATTCTCATAGCTTTTGGAGGCAGTCTTGTACTGCATAGAATTAATCACAGTAGGCAATAGGTCTTACACTTTGTGCACAGAGATATTGGGTTTTTGGACTTCATCCACCTCTTTCTAAAGGACCCAACAGAATAGGTGTTTTCCCTCACCTGAGGATGGAAACAGATCCAGTTTCCAAAATGTTGTGTTTTTCTTAGTTATCTTAAAAATCAGGACAATGGATGAAGTCCGAAAACCCAATATATCTGTGTGTTATACACCATCATCAGAATCCTATAGTAACTACTTACACTTTGTGTATATATAGAAGGAATAACTTCGATTTCAGCTAATACATAATGTCAGAATCAGAAGAAAGTGAATATATAAAAAGAAACTCCAATTGGAATGTATATGAAACAAAATTAAATGGTCATGCACTAAAGCTAATGTGTACATACATTGACTGAAGTCAACTAAAACAGCAATGGAAAGATTAGATACCTAACAATGTTGAATATGTTTCTATAATATCAAAAAGATGATATCTTTCTAAAAATACAACATTACAGAAATTAACATTCTCTCTCTCTCTCTCTTTCTTCAGATATCAGTATCTGATGGAGCTGCACATACATCACAATGTTCCTATGCTGCTAGTTGGTGACACAGGTACAGGCAAGAGTTTCTATGTGTGGAACATGTTGATGAATCAGTTATCAGAACAAGACTATGTCCCAGCATTCATCACCTTCACTGCCCAGACAACAGCAAATCAAACACAGGTGTGGCAGGATACTAAGAATGGTCAAGTTTCAGAACCTTTCTTTCACACACCCACACACCCGATGACTACTGAAGTTAAGCCTGAAGCAAGTGGCAGCACACTGTGTCTTTGTGTAAAGAAAAGACAAATTGTATTGGATTTATTCTGCTGGAAGGAAAAGACATCAGCTTACTATACTAAAAAATTATACTGAACATCATCGATCTGTGCACTTCTGTGACAAAGAATGAACATGTGATTACACATTATGCCAATTTGAATAGTCACACTTGTGTTGAAATAAACGGGAGTAATTTGGTGCGTCAGTTTGTTCATTGCTGCTTTTCAAGACAAGTTGTTATGAAAGTTACAAGTTTCATTAAGAAAAGTGTTACATAGGGATCACTTACGATCTCTGTTTAGCTGAGAGTTGGAAGTCAGTGTATGCAATAATTGAATTTTTATTTCTATTAATTAGAATGTTTTATGTAGAAGATAAATGGCAATTGTGTGACCTGTCACATATTGAGATGCATAGAAACTGAAACTATGTTCACTTTTGAAAGTAACTTCCTTTTAAAAACCATGACACAGAATTCTGTACAGTGACATGGTAAGAAGATACATATTTAGTACTCACTGGTCCTCTTCTCACTGAAATAGAGTTTTATCATATTTCTAGGTAAATGCTTATGTAAAAGTAATGTGTAAGTCATTATGCTTGAAACTAACTGAATAAATTGGCTCAGGCAGTAATGCTTCTGGCTTGTGTTAAGGAAGTGCCTGTTTAAAAGCTTAGCCAGGACACTGAATATCCTGACAAGTCTTTCATGGTTTCTCTCAGCCCTACCATGCAAATGCCAGGGCTGTACCTTAAAATAGGCCATGGCCAATACCACATCCTTTCTAATTCAGTCATTAATTTTCCTCTTGATTGACACTATAGTCTGAGCTACTGAGATCATCTGAAAATAAACCATAAATAATAAGTAAGTTTACTTAACACTTTTTTCAGTTATGTAAATTGTGTTTAACCCTTTGGCGCGGTGATTTAAATTCCGCTGCCGTGTCTCTCCGGCGGTAATATTTTCAGCCGGTCATTTAAATTTTGCTCGTAAATGATTTATTTGTCATTATTCTTAAATTAAATGAGATAGTAACATGAATCTTTCACTAAAATAATCTTAAAATGTGGTTTTATAATCTTACCTTATAATGTGAGCGCCCTGTATCTCGGCGATGGAAGCAGCTGGTTTAGAAGTGTAGTAGTGTATGATACGCCTTGAAGCATTCTTCTAAACACAACGCTGCCTCGCATTCTCCACACCAATACTGCGTATCTTTTCTCTGGCCCTTTTTTCCGCAAACCACACACCTTCTGTGCGGTCTTGCCTTCTTCCCCGTGGGGGGAATTCGCTCAAGGAAATGTCTTTCCGTGAGTCGTTTAGGCGGCGGAAGAACTGACGGACGGCCGTGTACAGGACGACGTACCCCAGAACTGTGCTTTTCCACGAGACCTTGAACTAGGGAAAGTCTGAACTGTAGAGTGTCCAGGTTTTGTTTGTTTGTGTGGGACCGATAGATTACCATACTGTTGTGGATTGCTACATTGAGTAACCGCCTGAACAATTTTAGGTACCACTTGGTACCCTTCTTTCGTTCAAGCAGGTACGGTTGTAGCATCTGGTCTTTCAGATCCACCCCGAGCATGTTTTTGTTGTAATCGCAAACAACCACAGGCTTTATTTCTGTCTTGTTTGCACGATTAACAACCACACGCATATCGTTTTTATGGTATGTGGATATCATGGTCACCCTTTTTTTGTCTTGCCACGCAAGAACTGCCACGTCTCCTGAGTGTTGAGCACAGTGTTCACCTTTTTTCAATTTCTTATCTTTCACTAAGGGAGGGACATTTTTCCTGTTGGGACGTAAGGTTCCAACACAGTCTGTATTTTTAGACTTCAAGAAACGAGCCAAATCAGGGGAGTTATAAAAATTATCCATCCACACTGTGTGTCCGCGACCCAGAAGATTTTCTAACAGTGTTATTACAATTGCTGTAGTTTTGTTTGTCTCTGCAGTCACATACTGATTTGTTAGTTCCATTCCTTGTCCAGTATAGACAAGAAAGGACCAAACATAACCAGAACTAGACTCGCAGAGTTCAAACGTTTTGATACCAAATTTCGCAGCCTTGAGTGGCAAGTACTGCTTGAAAGACAGACGACCTTTCCATAGGGTCAAGGATTCATCTATGGCAATGTTGTGACCTGGAAGATAGAGAATCTGAAATTTTCTACTCAGGTGCTGAATGACGGGATAAATTTTGAAAAGTTTGGAAGGGCCTTGGTACTCATTTTGCTTGCTGTTGTCCGAAAAATGCAGAAATCTCATTATGACCTCAAGTCTTTCCAGAGGTAAGGTCTCTGCAAAAAACGGAGTGAACAGCAGGCGGTTCTTTGAGTAATAAGACCTCAATGTAGGCCTCTGATCAATGCCAGTCAACATAATTAGTGCCAAAACCACGTACATTTCGTCCACTGTCACATCTTCCCACTTCCGAATCCTAGAGCGAAATGTGAGAGGTCTGG